TCGATCTCATTGAATCGATTTCACTCTCGGTCTCACGATCGCCCTTGCAATCGTCCTCACGATCGATCCCACTATCGATCGCATTATCGATCTCACAATCGATCTCAAGATCCATAGTATCAATGTTCAAATCATCTACTGATTGGGTTTTCTCAGGTGTAACTCTAAAAAGTGTGCGTGTGTGTGTACGTGTGCGTGTGCGTGTGCGTGCGCGTGCGCGTTCGCGCGTGCGCGTGCGCGTGTGTGTGTGGATGTGTGTGTGTGCGTGTGTGTGTGTGGTGTGTGTGTGTGTGTGGTGTGTGGTGTGTGGTGTGTGGTGTGTGATGTGTGATGTGTGATGTGTGATGTGTGTGTGATGTGTGATGTGTGATGTGTGATGTGTGATGTGTGATGTGTGATGTGTGATGTGTGATGTGTGATGTGTGATGTGTGATGTGTGATGTGTGATGTGTGATGTGTGACGTGTGCGTGTGCGTGTGCGTGTGCGTGTGCGTGTGCGTGTGCGTGTGCGTGTGCGTGTGCGTGTGAGTGCGCGTGTGCGTGTGAGTGCGCGTGTGCGCGTGTGTGTGTGGTGTGTGTGTGCGCGTGCGTGTGCGTTTGCGTGTGCGTGTGCGTGTGCGTGTGTGTGTGTGTGTGCGCGTGTGCGTGTGTGTGTGAGTGTGTGTGTGTGGGTGTGGGTATATGGGCGTGGGTTTGGGTGAAGGTGTGCGTGTGCTTGTGCGTGTGCGTGAGCGTGAGCGTGAGCGTGAGCGTGTGCGCGTCCGTGTGCGTGTGCGTGTGCGTGTGCGTGTGCGTGTGCGTGTGCGCGTGCGCGTGCGTTGCGTGTGCGCGTGCTTGTGCATGTGCGCGTGCGCGTGCGCGCGTGTGCGTGCGCGTGTGCGTGTGCGTGTGCGCGTGCGCGCGCGCGTGCGCTGGAGGCAGAGTTTCCCCCGCAGCGGACAAGCGAACCCCGCGCCAGGACCGCCCCTATCAGAACCGCGCCGCCCCAGACCCGGCGGTCTACTGGGCCCCCTCCCCCAGGGGCCCCGCCGGGCCCAGGCAGGGCGCGCGCTTGCCGTCCGACTCTTGTTCGGTGACGGCTCCGGCCAGGGCGCGCGGCGGCCTTGGCATTGCCGGCACCGGGAGAGGGTTCTCGTCGCCACGGAGGGACTGTAGAACGGGGGCACCACCGCGGACACCACAAGCGCCCCTCGTCGCCACGGCTGGAAATCGGCACTCCAGCGCACCGCCCCGCGCAGGTGGATCGCGCGCCGCTGCCCAGACGGGGCGGCGCCTGGCGCCCTATCGCGCGCCTATGCTGAGGCCGCGCTGACCCGGCCGCAGGGCGGCGCCGCCGGGCACCGCGATTGGCATCCCCCCTCTCTTCCACGGTCGCTTCGCCTCACCCCCCCGCCCACGCGGCGACGAGCGCTGGCAGCTCGGGCACCGAGGATGACCGCGGCACCCCCCAGGGCGGGGAGCGCGCCGCCCCTGCCCCTGGCGCCCCTCAGTGCCAGCGGGGCCCTGGCCGCCACGATCAAGGACATGCCGCGAGCACCCAGACATCCGACGTCTCGATTTGTTCGAGACACGGGCCCCCGATCTCCCGACCACTTCCCCGGGACCGGCTTTCCATCCCGAGTCTTTTTGTTGACGGCCTCGAGGCCCGGCGAGGGCCCCGCGAGGCCGAAAACGACGGAAAACCCCCGTCTCGATGTTTTCGAGACGCCCGATGTCTGGGCAGGCGGCGAACCCAGCGCGGCCCGGGCCAGGCACTGTTCCCAGCGCGGCGGGGGCTTCAGGGGCCCTGGCCGACGCGACGCCGCCTTCCTTCGCAGCTTCCTCCACCTCCCTGCCTCGTCGCCTCCCCGATTCTCTCGCGGCGGCACCGAGAGGCCGCGGCGGGCCCCCGGCGCGCCGAGGCGCGTCTGCTCCGGAGTGCGCCCCTGGCTGCAGGGAGGGCCCCTCGACCATCATCACGCCCAGTCGGTGCCCCCCCCTTTGCCTGGCGGGCCAGCACGCAGTCCCCGCGGCAGTCCTGCCAGTGGGCCTGCTCGCCTGCCGCCCCCCTGCGGTGCCTCTCCTTGGGCGTCCCGGCCGCCCCCCCTCCTGCGCCTCGCAGGTGGGCCCGCACAGGCGCACAGGGCACGGGTGGGCCGCCTTCATCCGCCAGGCGCCTCCCCTCACGCCTCGCCGGCCTGCCGCTCCCCCTCCGCGCCTGCGGGCCGCTCCATTCCGCACTGGCGGGCCGCTCTGCCTGCACCGGCGGGCCGCCCTTTCCGCGCAGGCGCTCCCGGCCTGCACCTTGGCCGCCCCCCTCTTCCGCGCCGCGGGGCTGCTTGTCCCGGCGCTCTCCGTCCTGGCCGCCGCCCGGGCGACCCCGGCTGCCCCCCCCCCCCCCCGGCCAGGGCCCACGCTCTCCCTGCCTGGTTCTCAGGCTGGTCTCTCGACCAGTCACCAGCTTCTGGCGAGTGGGTCGCTGCCACGGTTCCGCGGCGCCTTGCACCGCCCTCCTGCCCCCGCGCCTCGCAGGCCCTCTGGTCTCGGCGCCCGCCCCTCCCTGCTGGCGCCCCCCAGCCCCACGCCGCCCCCCCTTTTTGGCGCGGCTCTCTCTCTCTCTCTCTCTCTCTCTCTGTCGCCTTCGTTCGCCGCCTGCACGCCAGCCGGCGCCAGCCGCGCCCATTGCGGAGCACTTGGCCTGCCCTGCCAGCGCTCCGCCCTCTCGCCCCCCGCCGCGCCTCGCAGGCCCCCCTCTGGGCCCGCTCGCCCGCCCACCAGCTGGCACTCCCAGCTCCGCGCCGCCCCCCCTGGTGGCGTGGCTCCGCCTTTCGTCCTCCGCCCCACGCCTGCTCGCCGGCCTGCGGTAGCCGCCCCAGTGCGGCTCCCTCGCGGCAGCCTGCGCTCCGCCCCTTCACGCCTCCCGCCGCGCCTCGTAGGCCCGTAGGTCTCGGCGCTTCGGCCCATCCCTGGGACCACCTGCTCTGCCGGCTCCCCCACTGGCGTGGTCTCCGCTTCGCATGTGCTGCTCCCCCATCTGGCTCTGCCCGGCCGCCGCTGGGCTGCCGCCCCCCCCCAGCTGCTGCCCAGCGCCGCAGCTGGTTCCCCCCCCGCGGCGCCCCCCATGCCGCAGCCAGTGACTTCCCTAAGCGGGTCCGGCTTCCCCTCCTCCCGTCGCGCCGGGGCCTTCGCCTCTTCTCTCGTGCACCGCGGCCTGAATTTGCATATGGTGCGCCCCCTGATGCCCGATCGCCGGAGCAGTCACCCTCTGCCCAGCCGCCGACGCAAAAAGTGCGCGTGCGTCTGCGTCTGCGTCTGCGTCTGCGTCTGCGTCTGCGTGGGCGCGTGCGTGTGCGTATGCGTGTGCGTGTGCGTGTGCGTCTTCGTGTGCGTGTGTGCGTGTGCGTGTGCGCGTGCGCGTGTGCGTATGCGTGTGTGTGTGTGTGTGTGTGTGTGCGTGCGTGTGCGTGTGCGTGTGTGTGTATGTGTGTGTGTTTGTGTGCCTGTGCTTCTGTGTGTTTGTGTATTTGTGTGTCTGTGTGTCTGTGTGTCTGTGTGTCTGTGTGTTTGTTTGTCTGTGTGTGTTTGTGTGTGTGTTTGTGTGTTTGCGTGTTTGAATGTGTGTGTGGTTTTGTGTATGTGTGGCTGTGCCTGGGTCTGTGTCTCTCTGGCCCTGTGTCTGTGTGGATGTGTCTGTGTGTGTCTGTGTGTCTGTGTGCCTATTCCTAAATAGGCGTGCCTGTGTCTCTGTGCCCGTGTTTGTCTGTATGTGTCTGTGTTTGTGTGCCTTTGTGCCTGTGTGTCTTTGCGTGTGTGTGTGTGTGATCGGCGCACACGCGGTATTGTGTTGTATACGCGTGCCCTTTCAGCCATGCGCGATTCAGACATTAACCATCGCGATTGCGCAACGTCGACGTAGCGCAACTAAGCGTGGCCCGTTTGTGTAGGCACGCATTTCAAAGCTTGCCGCGCATCATGGAATACGGATGCTGCCATAGCGTTACTACCAGAAACAATAAGACGTCACGCGGCACGCCCCGAGAAACCCGCCTCTTGGGAATCTGGCCCTTGTCCACACAACATTCACGAGTCAGGGCCCGAAAACTCGAAAGGCCCTAGGGCAACCCCACTGGACGGCGACGGCGCGGTGGCAGAGATGGAAGAGTGATGGAGGAGGGGGGCGGCAGGGAGGAAGAAGAGAAAGAAGAGGAGGAGGAGGAGGAGGACGACGAAGAGGGAGTAAATGCCTTTACTTTAACGTTGGCTGCCTCGAGGGAGACGGTCAGGAGCAGCAGCCCGTGCGTCGCGGGAGGGAGGGAGGGGCCTTGTGAGTCTTGGGCTGGCTTCGGCAGACGAGCAAAAGCAGCGCCAAGAGCGGTGTTTGTCCCCGCTTCGTCGCCTACACAGAGGGAGCGTTGCGTTCAGGAGTGGAGGCCGCGTTTGTAGCACAGGGATTAGAAACCAGCACCTCCAGAATGAATAAACCTCCGGTTTCTCACCACATCCTAAGTGCGATTCGTGTTTGATTCGCACCCCCGCGCAGGAGCCTCACCCGTCTCTCCTCCCTCGTCCTTCTACACTCGTCATCATCGCACACATTCGTTCACACACCCACTCGTGTGTGTGTTTCAGTGGGACACGCGTCCTCATCATCATCATCATCATCATCATCATCATCATCATCATCACCATCACCATCACCATCACCATCACCAATCATCATCATCATCATCATCATCATCATCATCATCATCATCATCACCAGCATGACCATCACGATCACCAGCACACCACCAACGCCATCATCACCACCATCAGCATCACCCCCATCATCATCACCAGCATGATCAGCATTGCAGACAGTCACTCACTCACCTTCACTTCCACTCACACACACATTCGTCTTCAGAAAGTCTCGAGCGGGAGCCTCGTCTGTGAGTGCATTGCGAGAAAGTCTCAGGCGGGAGCCCCCCATACCCATCGGGCCCGCAGCTCATGTTGCCAATGCGAGCGGGCCATCGGGAAGCTGGAACGGTCGTCATTCCTGGCCCCTTCAAGCTTGAGTATGGAGGAAGTCTGAGGCATGAGCCTCGTCTGTGAGTGAACAGCGAGGAAGTCTCAGGCGTGAGCTTCCTCCCCACGGGGCCCGCAGAACACGTTGCTAACCCGGGCGGGCCATCGGGAACTTGTAACTGCCGTCAGTTCCGGCCTGCATCCTCAAGCGTGAGTGCTGGAGTCTCGTCTGTGAGTGATTTGCGAGAAAGTCTCAGGCGGGAGCCCTCTCCCTATCGGGCCCGCAGCTCATGTTATTAATCCAAGCGGGTCATCCGGAACCTGGAACGGTCTTCATTTCTGCTTCTTCAAGCTTGAGTACGGAGGAAGTCTCAGACAAGAGCCTCGTCTGTGAGTGAATTGCAAGGAAGCCTCAGGCGGGAGCCCCCTCCCTTTTCTGGCCCGCAGCTCATGTTATTCATTTGAGCGGGTCATCGGGAACCTGATACGGTCTTCACTTTTGGGCTCCTGAGGTTTGCATATGAAGGACGTCTCGAGCGGGAGTCTCGTCTGTGAGTGACTCGCGAGGAAGTTTCCGGCGGGAGCCACGCGGCTCGTCTGCGAAAGAATCGCGAAGAAGTCGTGAGTGAGAGCCGAAGGTGCTGACAAAGACGGCGAGGCCCAGGCGCGGGCGAGAAGTTTGCTCATGTCCAGGCCCAGCGAGCAGGAGCTCACGTGGCAAAGGTCGGGGACGCACGTCGTGTGCAGCACGGTGCCCGCCCAGATTCACGCACCCTACCTGACGACTTCCACGCTGTCGCAGGGTCAGACGCTCCGCAAGGGCGTCACTATCAACTGCCCCAGGGATGAGGACGCTGGTCGCAGGGGCAGGTCATGTTCTCCCGCGCCACGCGCATGCGGAACATGCTGATCCTACGGCCGCCGACGCGAGAGCTCCTGGAGCGCAGGCCGCTGGCGCCCCTGCAGACGGCGTTCAGGGAGTTCGACAAGAGAGCGGAGAGTCCCAGGGCTAACGCGGAGCACCTCGCGGCAGAGCTGGGTTTCGCGTTGCCCCCCGCCGGAGCGTGGCTGCGACTAGCCCGGTGCCGGAGACCCGCAGGATTATCCCAACGGTTTGTTCCCGCGCCCCGGTAGTTTTCGGGGTTGTCCCAACGGCCTGGCCCGCGGGTTTGCCCCAGCGGTCTCGCGATCTGGCCATCGGAGAACGCGCCCATGCCGTCCGCGGCGGCAACGGCGCCAAGGAAAATCGGTTTGCGTGCCCTTGCTGGGAGGGTGGGGGAGCAAGTGGACGTGCGAGAAGAGTCAAGTCGGGCCTGTCCCTCTACAGGCGGAATATTTAAGAATAGTCCAAAAATAGTCTGGGGACGATTTTTAAAGTATTTCGATACGTGTAAAGAATTTGAAGGGTAGTCTTGATTTTTTCGCCCCGGATTCGCCTGTAGGGGGACATGCCCGACCCAAGAAGAAAGGCTGGAGGACGAAGAGGAGGCGGGGAGGGGGCCCCCGCAAGGGCGGAAAAGGAGAAGGGCGATGAAGAGACGGGGAGAGAGCCCCTGTTTCACAAGGACGGCGGTGAGGTTCATTTCCACGCTCGTCCCCAAACATCGGGCGTCTCGAAAAAATCGAGGCGGAGGTTTTTCGTCGTCTTCTGCCTCTCGGGGCCCTTGCCGGGCCTCGGGACCGTCAAAAAACGATTCGGGATGAAAGACCGGTCATGGGGAAGTGGTCGGGAGGTCGGGGGCCCGTGTCTCGAAAAAATCGAGACGTCGGATGTCTTGGTCTGGGAGATCCGCATGTGGGTTCCTACCGCCGGACTTATGACCACGCAGGGACCAGCATATGATGACTCACGCCACGGCGTGCCCAGGAGATCCGAACGCCCACAGCTATCTCTGCTTGTCCAGCGCTTCCTCGAGGCATAGAAAGGGCTCCTCCCCACTTCCTTCCGTGCCCCGTGCCTCCCCCATCCATTAATATCGCTTGTCCCACCCCACCACTCGATTGCGCGGCCCCCGCATCCGTATTCTCTCTGCGGGGGGGCGCGCGCAAACGCAAGCGTTTCTGACGCCTGACCCCGAGCGCCGTGTACTTGCCCTTCACGCCCCCCGCGGTCAACCTTTAACTTCTGGTATCCAGCGTTCGAGCTCTTCCACTCCAGCTCCCGCGTCGACTCCTGAGCGTTCCTGGCCCCCCCGCGTTACCCTCTGAGGGTCGGTCTGGTGCCCCCCCCCCGCCCTCGCTCGCCCTCTGCAGCAGTTCCGGCCCGCGCATGCGGAGCAGGGCCGAGCCTTGCCCCGCCCCGGCGGGCCAGGCGGCGCCTTGGGCAGGCGCTGACCCTCTGCGCTGACCCTTGGCTCGGGCGCCGGAGGCACGCGGTGGGCGAGCCGTTGCGGCGGCGGCGCCAGCCCATGGCGGGCCTGCCGGCCAGCACGGCCCGGGCCGAGGACATCGGCACCGAGGTGGACGTCGCGGTATCCTTCGCGGTGCACGCCTGGAAGTACCGCACCGGTGGTGTTCGGCGGCGCGCAAAAGGGGGGGGGGCGTACGCTCCCTGTGCTGGGGGCCATTCGTCGAGGGATCGCAGACATGGATCGAGGCGGGTGGTTTGGCGACGGGTCCCGCGCCCACACGACATCGACGCGCCCCGTCGCCACATCAGGCGGCACTGGCCTCATGTCTCGGGGGTGCCCTGCCCGATCCGTGGAGCTGGCGCCCACGCGCCGGAGCCGCGGGCCCCTGATCCGTGTCAGCGTGCGCCCGAGATCACGGCGGACGAGCTCTGGCTTCTTCGGACTTTGGGAGGCTCTTGCCGGGCCCCAGGACTGTCAAGAAATGGCTCGGGGCGATGGCCAAGTCGGACCCGGAGAGTCGAGTAGGGGATGGACTACAGAGTTGATTTACCCAAGAAATCATTTCCCGTGAAATGTTTCAGCGAATGCGTAGAAGGCTCTACGGAGCATTCTATGTATGTTTCGGAGACTCGACGAACAGATCAATTTTGGGGCACATCGATTCCGTAGTCGACCCCCTACTCGAGGGCAGGGATGCAGGTCCCTGGGGGCCCAGGCCACGGAGCAGGAATGGGGCGTCGGAGAAGAAGGAAGGGGGCAGGGCGGCGGGGGCGGTTTTCTGACCGGGGGAAGGGGGGGACGGCGGCCTCTCTGGAAGCCCGACGCCCCGCGCTCTCCAAGGAGCGGAAGGCCTTCGCCGCGGCTTGGAGGGTAAATCATACTTGATTTCGGTGTGTTGGTTAGTCGCCCTCTCCCTTCCCCCCCTCCCTTCTCCCTCCCCCATTTCGCCCCTCCCCTTCGGCTCGTGCATGTAGCTTCTGTGTTGTTTTCGCCGCTTCCGACTTCGCTTACTCGCGGCACTCGCATTCCACTGCGCGCCGATAGTATTTCCATGGCCTCGCGCATTTGCTCATCAATTCAAGGTCACACGCTGAATTATGGCGATCTGCCCTTCATTTCCACCCGGTATTACCAATACTATTTTGGGGTGGATTCGTATCCTGGCGCACCCGCACGACATTGCTTGGAGAACGGTCTCCTAAGCAGTGGCGCGGTGTTGGCTAGGTTTGTGCAGTGTTCTTTGTTACTTCCCTCCTCCCTCCTCTTCCTCCTCCTCCTCCCTCCTCCTCCTCTTCCTTCTCCTCCTCCTCTTCCTCCTCCTCGTCCTCATCCTCCTTCCGTTACCATATTGGCTCAAGAAATTTGCTTTGGGTCTTCCCCTGGGAATGGATACCGTTAGTCCGCGGCCAGTCTTCGCTTTCTCGCAGCCGTACTTAGGGACGAGCTGCCGTCCGTTCCTGCTCTCATTCCTGGCGTTGTAGGCCGCTTTCCATATCTTAGTCTCGTTGGGCGCCGCTCCGAGCTTCCATATCGCCTCGTAGAGCCGCGTTCCGAGTTCCCATATCATCATCGGGCCTGACGCCGAGCCGCCACCGACACGTTCTGACAGCCCGTTGTTTTTGGTCGCTGCCGTGCAGCAGTCCAAATCGAACCTCAATTACAGGTCGCCCCGCGTGTGCACCCCGCCACCATGGATCGCAGCGACAGCTCCAGCTGCAACGAGCGTTCGGCATCCCGCAGTCTTCCGTCATCGCAAGCCTCTCGCCGCCGCCGCCAGAAAGCAGGACACCGCGACCAATCTGGTCATCGTGACCGTTCCCATTGCCAAAAAGATCGCCCCCGCGCCGATGCCGCCAGCGGGACCTCCGCACGTGAAGATATCGTCATGGCTGGTCGCTCTTCTGGCCGCGCCGCCCCACGCTCCTCTCGCACGGCTCGACCGGTCGCTCGCACTGCATCCGCTGGCCCATCAGGCAACGGACTCCGACACGATATGCTCCAAAGGCAAGATCCATGGAAGCTGGCTGCCGACATGGAAAAGTTCCCCACCTTCCCATCGCAAGAGCTCGCACAGGGAGCCGCTCATTCCGCAGCACACGACGAAGCACACCCAGCGGGCGCGCAAGGAGCCGCTACCCATGAAGCAGCACATACCGCGGCCGCCGCCCCAGCAGTCGAAAATGTTCATCCTACGCCACCTGCTCAAGTTCAGCCCCCTCTCCCGGCGTTTCCGCCAGAGCTCGACGCGGCGCTGCAACAGCTCATGCCGCAGCAGGTACATTGCGCCGACAGCACCTTCCAGGCGCAGGCCAACAACCCCCTCAACGAGTCGCGGGAAAGTTTCCGTCAGCCTCTTCAGCAGCAGTTGCTTCTAATTGGGCGTCGATTGGACATTCTTCACGAAGTCGTCGCACGAGTTCGTCGCGGCCAGGACCGCCAACCCTGAGAACAGCAGCGCGCGTGGGCGCAGATCGACCGGATGCGCGACTCCCTTGCCACCTCCGAGGGGCAGGCCCCGATCGCGGACCTCACCGGGCTTGCCGAGATGGACAGATCCGCTTGCCCGACGATCTTCACCATTGGCTGCAAGCGCCCCCTCTCGCCAGAGGTTCTCAATGACCTGCAAGAGTGGATCGCCTCGGCCAACCTTTCCTCCGACGCCGTCGAACTCTACAGAGATGAACCCTCGGGCAGAGTCATAGCACAAGCCAAGGGCGGTAAAGCTGTTATTCCCCCGAGGGCCACGGCCCTGTCTCGAGCGCTACGAAATGCAGCCGGTAGGTGGAAGCGGCTCGAGTCCATGGGCACCACTGGCGGCCACGTCGCCAACTATCACAATCCCGACATGTCGCCCGAGCAGATCCGCACAGAGAGATCCAGCGCAAGATACTTCTGCAGCTCCTTCGGCATCAATACCCTGGTCGACAATGGCGAGCCATCCGCGCGAAGGGAGAGACGCACAGCAATGCCATGCCCATCGCGCGCGCGCCCCGACGCCAGGGGACAAGCCGACCCGACCATTCTCGAGTGGAACGAGAAGGCGTTTGAGCCCCAGCAGTTCCAGCGCATCGACCGCAGTAGCAGTCTCGCGCCGTTCCAGGCGCCCCTCGCAAACACCGAGCCGGCCACGCGGCGTTCCTAACCGCCCGCGGGCCCCGTGGCATTGGACAGAGGGAAGCGAGCCAGCCACGCTCGTCACTTGGAACGCGCCCTCGCGCGCCACAAGCGCAACCGCCGCAAGAAGAGGCAGCTCGCCTTCTCCAAGCTCACGAGGCGCACGTGCGCCATCCTGCTGCAGGAAGCCCACGGCAGCGAGGCCTTCCACCGCGCGCGGTCGGACACCTGGCCGCGCCCACGCAAGCTCTTCTTCTCCGAGCTCAAGTACCACAGTGGCGACGCGCAAGGCGGCACTAGGGGAGTCGCCACGCTTACCCCATGGTTCAAGCACATGCTGCTCGCGCAGCTCACGCCGCAGCAGCCCCCGATCTTCGAGCATCTTCGAGCACGAGGTTGTCGCAGAGGGCCGCGTTCTGACCGTCGCCATCACCAACGCCACCTCGCTCATCATAAGGAACGCACACAGCCACGACATCTGCGCTGAGGACCGCGGCGAGGTCCGCCGAGCCCGGCATCAGCATCGCACGTGGGTGGAGGCTGACTACGGCCATCGCAGGTGCCTGGCCATGGGCGACTTCAGCACGGCCAGCCACCCGCCGAGCAGCTCCTTCCAGCCGCGGCCGCTGCGCTCGCGTCCGGCGTTCGACAACAGCGCCCGCCAGCAGCAGCCGCTCTGGAAAGCGCTCTTCGACGCGATGCTCGAGATCGAGGAGGAGGAGGAGGAGGAGGGGGAGGACCTGCTTCAACGCGTCAGAGCACAGCGCGCCCGCCACCGACCGCGGCTTCACCGGCCTGCCGTCGCGCGCCACGCAGGAGCTCACCAAGAGTACCACCGTCGCCTTCGACCATTAGGTTCTCTCCGACGAGCTCCTAAGCGATCGCGCCACCATTGCCTTCTCCATTGGCATCAAGCCGAAGACGCCGCTGTTTGAGCAAGCCATCGCACCCGCCATCTCCCGCGACTCAGCGACACCACGTACCTTCAGCAGCTGATCGACGCCGCTACCAAGACGAAGCACGTCCGGATAGTCAACCGCTGGCGCACACACAAACGCCTCGTGGCAGAAGCTGCTCGCCTCGTCCGCGACGACTGGGTTCGCCAGACCGCCGGCACGGTGGGGCGCTCTGGCCCCGCGGACGGACGGGCGATCACGGCGCGCTCAGCATCGCGAGCCATCCGGCGTCAACACCTCGAGCTGGCGCGCAAGCTGCACTCCACCACCGAGATTGGCGCGGAGTACTCCAGATTTCGTAATAAAGGGAGGGGGGTCTCATTTCGGGGGGGTCTCTTCCAGGCTATCTTGGAGGACCTGGGGGGGTCTGGGGACGATGTTTTGGAGGGTTCTCCCACGGGGGGGGGTCTGAAGTGGCTTGTCTTGGAGGGTCCAGACCCCCTCCCTTTTATTGCGGAAGCTGGAGTACCTCGCCATCTCCGAGCTTGCCATCACTCCCAACCACAGCTCCGAGCTCGCCAACCTGTCCGCGTCGCTGCACCGCGACGTCGAGGCAAGGAAGCGCTCTCTCTGGTCCTGCGAGCGGCCAAGCGCCCTCAGGGGCAGCCCGATGCCCTCGGCCCTGCAAAGCTCCGCCATATCCTTCGGCCCTCTCAGCTCCTCCTCCTCCTCCTCCTCCTCCTCCTCCTCCTCCTCCCCCCCCCTCATCTGCCGGTTCAGACGTGCGCAGCGCGCGGGCAGCCCGCTCCAAGGTAGGAAACCTTCCCTTTCAGGAGCGAGGATACTGTACCTCACTTTCCCCTCTTGCAGAAGGCATACTGCATGCATGAAAAGAGTTGGGAGGTTTCTGGCAGCTGCACTGACGATGAGAGCGCGCACATACAACCCGTTTTCAGCATCGCACGAGAGGCACGAAGATATATCCAGTGAGTTGGGAGCGTGGGACGCGGCGCTGGTATTTGGTACATGCCAAGTTGCACAGCCCGACCATGGAGCGCAGCAGCATGCACACGCGCGACACTGGGGAGTACATTTTGGGAAGAGGAAGGGAAAGTTAGTGTCGGACGCATGCGGGGTCACGATTCTGGTA